GATATGCGCCATACATAGTTCCTTTTTTAGCTCTGAATTTCTATAGTCTGGGGGAAGCCGATTGCTGACTCAGAGTATGTACTCCTCACTTATATGTGGTTGCAGGAGTCGAGTCACAGTTCCTGGTCTTCCTGTAAGTATGAATGTTTGGTACAGGTACACAAGTACAATTATCATGCATAGTGTAAAGTAGTATAGCTCAAAAAAAGTCAGTGACTTATTTTCATTAAGGTCCTTGTAATATCTTAATATTTAAAGCCTAGCTGTCAGTCACAGTAGAAATCAGTCATGATTATAATCTTAAAAATTAAAATATCCAAATAACTCAGCTGTGAAAATCACTTACAATAGAAAGAAATATAATGAAATTAAAGTGAACTTAAGTTATTTCCATGAACATTAAAGAGAGGGTCAGCTTACAGTTACTGGTAAAACAATGTGTGTACTCACCAGTTTGTACTCGCCTATTTGTGATTGAAGGGGTTGATTCACAGCTCCTGGCCCCCGCCTCTGGGCATCTGCCTCTTCCGGAGTCTTGGCACGAGGCCTGACTTAATTTGGAACAATTGCTCCTGTTTCAGTTTTCGAACTAAAGTTTCTTTCCTTTTTTTATAATTCTTCCCAACATTTGGGGAATATATTTTATCCCTGGAAGTAAGGATAAGGATTAATACAACTTTCACGGCACATATAAGCACGAGAAGGCACCTAAATTACTGGGAACGGTTGAAGGTCCTTGATCTGTATTTCCTGGAACGCAGGCGAAAGAGATACATGATAATATACACTTGGAAAGCCCTGGAGGGATTGGTACCAAACCTGCACACGAAAATCACTCCATATGAAAGCAAAAAGACTCGGCAGGAGATGCAGCATTCCCCCAATGAAAAACAGGGGTGCCACGAGTACATTGAGAGACAACACAATAAGTGCCAGGGGCCCAAGACTGTTCAACTGCCTCCCAGCCTACATAAGGGGGATTACCAATAGACCCCTGGCTGTCTTTAAGAAGGCACTGGACAGGCACCTAAAGTCAGTACTTGACCAACCGGGCTGTGGTTCGTATGTCAGCTTGCGTGCGGCCAGTAGTAACAGCCTGTGATGAATGGTTTGGAAAACCGACAAGTTGAAGATTGAGACTCTTATGCAACATATGGGAATCTTTATTCAGGAAACGTTTCGCCACACAGTGGCTTCATCAGTCCAATACAAAGCAGAAGGTGTAAGAAGAGGAGGAGTATGAGGTAATCAGTCCTTCAGCCTGAAGTCGTTGTGTTCAGTCCATCAATCTTGTAGAATGTATAGCACAGGGCCGTAGACGTGGCTTATATACTATAGTCAGGTGAGGCGTCTACGGCCCTATGCTGTACATTCTACAAGATTGATGGACTGAACACATCGACTTCAGACTGAGGGACTGATTACCTCATACTCCTCCTCTCCTTACATCTTTCTGCTTTGTATTGGACTGATAAAGCCACTGTGTGGCGAAACGTTTCCTGAATAAAGATTCCCATATGTTGCATAAGTGTCTCAATCTTCAGTAACAGCCTGGTTGATCAGACCCTGATCCACCATGAGGCCTGGTCTCAAACCGAACCGCGAGGGCGTTGACCCCCGAAACCCTCTCCAGGTAAACTCCAGGTAAACATTGACTCTGGTTAACAGTTAAACCAACAACAACAACTGGTTTGTTTTACTTGATTTGATTTATTGTATTTTCTCTGAAGCATTCATTAATTATGCAACAAATAAATATTTTAAGAGGAAATAGGCTTCATATTTATTATAATACAGTAGTATATAATATGTTTATGTATGTATATAATGGCAATGTGATTGATGTAATACTGTACAACTTTGTACAAACCATGTATCATTGTGGGAATAAATATTGATTGAACAATCTCTCTTCAAGGAAGGTTATACCTTGATGCAGGTGATGACTTGATCTAGGGAAATGAAACATTCCTCACATTCCTTACATCAAACCTGATATCCTCCCATTTCCTAGGTTCTGTATGATTCCTATAGGTTTAGCGCGCCTCTATAAGAGATAAGATTTTGTTCCGAATTTTAACTCTGGAGGGTTAGCCACATAGGATAACCCAGGAAAGGCAGTGCATCATCAAGGACTGTCTGTCTTATTTCCATTAGGGTCCTCGATTTGTCCCTCAGAATGCGACCCACGGCAGTCGACTAACACCCAGGTACCTACTTGCTTACTAGGTGAACGAGGCAACAGGTGTAAGGAAACACTCAATATTTCCACCCGTGCCGGGGCTCAAACCATGGACACTCAGTGTGTGAAGGAAAAGCGCTGTCTACCAGGCCATGGGCCACCTTTATCACCCTTATACTTCTGATAGCTGACCTTGGCATTGTGATTCTCACCACTTATTAATTGAAGAATTCACCAAGGCATTTCACTACCCCTTCACCCCACCCCCACAGTCATCCTTGGTGTTTACAGCATCCCATTTAAGGAATGTGATCACATTCATGTATGTAGAGGAAACAGCCAGAAATTTGCCCCCCCCCCCAGTTACAGGAACATTAATATGATTGCAGAATTGCTGACACGTGGAATATATATATATATAGGGTTTCCAGAACACACATGCACATCTCATGAACTTTATACGAGCACATCTGTATCAGTAGGATGACATGAGCAATATACATTTTAACAAAACTCTTAGAAAAATATATCAACCCTCTGAATTGCCGTATTTTATGGCGTCGAAGACGCTATTTTCTTTCCAAAATAAGTTTCGAAAATTTAACTAGTGTCTTGGTGGCCGAAATACCGTTTATCTTTTGCTTTTCCTCAAATTTAACCAATCAGAATTGGGGGGGGGGGGCATTTCAACACTGGAGCATAGTGTTGACCGTAAAATACGGTATACATGTACTGTTAGTAACCCCACACTGTCTTCTAATTTCTACCCTCATAACTGTATAATATTCACACAACAAATTCTCAAAATTGACCATGTCCACTGCCTTTTCACTGCAAAGTTTAAAGCTCATGCCTGTCATTCATTACAGCTGATATATATATATATATATATATATATATATATATATATATATATATATATATATATATATATATATATACATACAAACATTGATCTCTGGCTGAAGGAGACTCGAACCTACGAACCTTGGAACAAGGTACGCAGTGCTTTACCAATCTACCCACACTAGACCAATACCTTGGAGTCCAGCTTGCGCTAGACTTTGATCCAAGGCAGCCAGCTCTCAGGGAGAAGGCTTACAGCTTTTCATCTCATCCCCTGCATGCATCAGCCTTACTAGAGATATTAACAATGCAAGGAATTCTCAAGAGCAGGCGAATTCCTTGCATTGTTAATATCTCTAGTAAGGCTGATGCATGCAGGGGATGAGATGAAAAGCTGTAAGCTTTCTCCCTGAAAGCTGGCTGCCTTGGATCAAAGTCTAGCGCAAGCTGGACTCCAAGGTATTGGTCCAGTGTGGGGAGAGAGAGAGAGAGAGAGAGAGAGAGAGAGAGAGAGAGAGAGAGGAGAGAGAGAGAGAGAGAGAGAGAGAGAGAGAGAGAGAGAGAGATAGATAGATAGATAGATAGATCGCAGTCAGCAGGATTTGAAACTAATACTGAGGATGGTCAAGATTCTCAGGCAGCGCTCTAGTCCACTCGGCCACACAAATGCCACAATAGACTGGGTTAGTTTAATATCTTTATTATGCACCCCATACCCATCCTGTGGGCGGTAGTCAAAAGATTACAAAGGTACATAATGGGTCCAGGGAGACTGGACAGTCTGGTTCACAAGCCATGTTTGTTTCTGCGTGGTTCATTGATACAAAAATCGCTTGAGAGGTCAGAACATACAAGAGGAGATTGAAATAGCTTGAATCCATGCTTGAGGCTGACTGACGTGCCCGGGCTGGGAAAGAAACATGGCTTGTGAACCAGGCTGCCCAGTCTATTTGGCATTTGTGTGGCTTAATGGACTAACATACTATGTATGGGAATTACAGAGACTCGTATATTCATACAAATGCGAACTTACAAATAAATTAACGGGGGAAATGTGGTGTGGGCCTCAAGATTCCTGAATGCAGTCTTCATCAGAACTGTATGGAAGGCCCCAAGCCATCTGTTTGTATTTATATATTGCATACATGCATTCATTCATTTGTTCACACATGTATGCATGCATGCATGCATACATACATACATACATACATACATACATACATACATACATACATACATACATACATACATACATACATACATACACATACATAAAAGCAGTTTATAGTTAATCACTGACAGCCAATCTGGAGGAATTCAAGGAGAGTTTAGGAATTTACAACATTAACTGTTGAAAGGTCGCGTGAACAGCTGCCTACCACACCTCAAGACATGTGGTAGGTGCCCACTGCCCACATTGTCGTGGAATGTGCATACATCAAGACATCTGTTAAATAAATGAAGGTAAATATGTTTCTTTTAATGGTGAATGTACAGTATTTCCTTATTTGGTTACCTTGTCCCCCATAGATGACTGATGTGTTTAAAAAAATATTCATGGGGTAGTGCTAAACAACATTAGGAGTCATACACTATTGGGGAATGAAAGGTAATATGAATTAGTCTAAGGAACTGGAGCTTATCTCCAGTTCCTGGAAATATATCACTGCTGTAAGAGATCATATACAAGTTATTTAGTGCTGCCCAAAATGCTCTGCATAACCAGGCATGTTGCAGTTGAACTCTGATGTCGGTGCCCTTTTGGAAACCACAAAACTTGTAAGGAGCGTACAGCATCGCTGGAATGGAAGAGGTGGGGGTTAATCAGGTTTAATCCTAGGAAAGGTAAACTAGTTTTAATTCCGTACATTAAGAACCCTTTCACCAGCATTAAGGTATTCTCCTCTCCCATTGAAGTGTTGCTGATTCTTTGTTCTTGAATGTAGTTTAATGACAATGATTAAACTTTCAGCTGTGAATGGTGTGGACAACAGGGTAGATGGTGAAGCAGTGTCCGTTAACCTCAATCTTCTACCAGACGACGTCATCGCAGAAGACATCCTGGACGGTCTGCAGGAGGAGTTCTCCTCTGTTGGTGAGATGACACTTTTTATGTATGTGTGTAAGTGTACTCACTTATGTTTGGTTGCAGGGGTTGAGTCACAACTCCTGGCCCCCCTATTCTCTGGTCACTACTAGGTCTGCATTCTCCCGGCTCCAAGAGCCTTATCATGTGTGTTTGTGTGTTTTCTGTTGATTAATATGATGCAAGATATGGGTGGCAAGCAGTATAAGCCACATAATTTCTTAAGGGTAGGTGCATGTTGTAGAGGTGTAGGAATAGTCTTGTGTGTCACAATGATGTAGAGGTGTGGAAGTAAGATGAATGAGTGAGTGACTGACTAGGAGTCATGTTGTCATGTAGCAAGGAAATAAACATTTGTATTTGTATAAAGGTGTGATAGTAAGTTAGATGATTGTAGGAGTGAGTTGAAGGATTATCATATTCACAAAAATTGCTGAATCTTTATGGTTCACTTAACACTGCTTGTGAGGTGTAGGAGTGAGTTGAAAGGGTGTAATTTATGATTATTATTATTATTATTATTATTATTATTATTATTATTATTATTATTATTATTATTATTATTATTTTCATGGGAAGCACTAAACCTGTAGCCTTCATACAGTGCATGGGAAACAGGAAACATTCAAGTCCTTGGATCCTAAAACTGTTAACCAGCATCAAGGCACTCCTTCCAGTTGAAGGGTGGATAGATGTAGTTTTAAAGGTATGGAAGGATGTGTGGGTTAGATCAAGATGTGTGGGAAGGGCAAGTTATTTTATTTTTTTACACAAGTTTTACAGGCTAGGAATTATTCTACCTCTGCACATTGCAAAGCCCAGCCATATCTAAGATATACTGCCACCCCCTAGAATGTGACCCACACCAGTTAGCTAACACCCAGATACCATACTGCTTGCTGCTAGGTGAATAGGATCAGCAGGTGTAAGGAAACATGTCCTGCATTTCCACCTGTACCAGGGATTAAACCAAGAACCCTTGGTGTGTGATTGTTATAAAAATAAATAAGAAATAAATTCTTTCAGGGCAGAGTCGAGACAACCTTGTGTATGCAAGGCCATGTTTTTCTTGTTTATATCTGCTGATATAAACAGGGTTTAGCACTTTCCATGAATATAATAATAGTGAACTACACCCCTCCAGTTCACTACCATAACTTGTAGTACATTTAGTGCTGAATGACCCATATGGATTTAGCACTTTTTGTGAATACACTGTAATTTTCCTGCAATATCTCTTCATTTACTTAGCTACTAATTTTGGTTTACAGATAAGGAGCTGAGTGACAACTCTACTAAATCAGTCAACTCCACAACAAATGGACCCCAAAGCCGTAAGAAATACCTCTGTGATTTTCCTTGCGTTTGTTTGAACCTCTACAGAAATTCTGTGAAAATTCTGAATTTGCTGATGGAGAAAGAATTCTAAATTTGACTTAAAATAATTTCTAATTTGGACTATTGAATAGGAGAGAGAATGCTTTCCAAAAAGTTTAATTTGAATTCCTCTCTGAAATATGAAAATTTTCTTAATGCAATTGTTTCTGCAAAATTTCACTCCATTTTAGTATTAATTAAATGTATTACTAATGTTATATTAATGTGATATGTAAAATGTTATAATGTATACCAAAGCATTCAGATAATCTTAATGCAATAAAACAGTGTCCTGTAGTTTGATGGCACTTTTAAGGCTTCAGAAACTGCCCTGTATAAACAGGGGCTTTCCTGTACATCCATATAATACCAGTATATGTGGATAATTGATTCAGAGAACCAACAGTTTGATGAATTAGACAATTGTGCAACACTTGGGTATCTTTATTGTGTGGACGTTTCTCCGCTGGTTGGTGAAATGTTTCCACAATAAAGATACCCAAGTGTTGCACAAGTGTCTGATTCATACCAGTATATAACCTATTTTTATAATAATTGCACATTGTGTTTACTGGAAATAAACATTTCATTTTCATAAGTGTAGAATAACTTACCAAATTAATTAAAAAATTTAACATAAATGAATTTAAATCAGAGGTAAAATAAGTAAGTGTGTGATGAAATAGTACACTCATGTAATTGTATGTAATTCACTAAAACATTTCATTTAATTAATTGAATGTATCTTAAACCTTGTTCACATCATTATTATTACAGTATTGCTGATTTTTCTTCTGTGTATCTTGATTATCATTCTGCCTATCTAATTATTAATTTTGACTTGTACATAATTAGATAATACAGAACTATTACCATCCAGTTTTATTCATTTGTAGCCATGACCAGAACTTATGTATATACAGTCTCTCCTTACTTAGTGATGGAGTTTCATTCCTAAGAGTAGGTTGGTAAATGAATTGGTCGTTAAGCAAAGAGCATACTATACTGGTAGTGGGTTTGTGTCAACCATCTTTAGATATTGTTTTAATGTTCCCTTTGTTTATACAGTAGTGTACTGTATATTGTAATAAACAGAATAGAGGAAATCAGCTCTAATATACATTACTTAGGTATGCATACTGGTCAGAGAGCTGGTTGTAAGTCCGAGCTTTCATTAAACAAGTACGTTGTTAAATGAGGAAAGACTGTACTACAGTGGACCCTCGACTAACGATAAAATCGGGTAATGATGCATATTTGTGTAAAAATATTGGCTTGATCAATAATGAAAAACTCGGGTAAGGACATTCATCCCAAACGCGTCCGCTTGTCCATCCAGCCTGAGTGCCTCAGCTGCCCTGCCCTCAACTAGTGTGCCATTGTTTACAAGCCAGGGTGGACGGTTCCATGCATACATGCGATATATTTTGTATTATTACATTGTTTTTAGTGCTTGTAACTGCTAATTAAGCCACCATGGGCCCAAACAAAGCTTCTAGTGCCAACCCTGTGGTAAAAAGGGTGAAAAATACTATCGTACCATGGTCAGCTGTTGCTGCACCACCGTGAGCTGCTGCTGTACCACCATCAGCTGTTGCTGCACCACGGTCAGCTGCTGCTGCACCACGGTCAGCTGCTGCAGTACTACGGTCAGCTGCTGCTGCACCACGGTCAGCTGCTGCTGCACATTGTCAGCTGTTGCTGTACCACCGTCAGCTGCTGCTGTACCACGGTCAGCTGCTGCTGTACCACGGTCAGCTGTTGCTTCACCATCATCAGCTGTTGCTGCACCACCATCAGCTGCTGCTGCACCACCATCAGCTGCTGCTGCACCACCATCAGCTGCTGCTGTACCACCGTCAGCTGCTGCTGTACCACTGTCAGCTGCTGCTGTACCACTGTCAGCTGCTGCTGTACCACGGTCAGCTGCTACTGTTGTTGCACCACTGTCAGCTGCTGTTGTACCACTGTCAGCTGGTGCTGTACCACAGTCAGCTGCTGTTGCACCACTGTCAGTTGCTGCTGTACAACAGTCAGCTGCTGCTGCACCATCAGCTGTTGCTGCACCACTGTCAGCTGTTGCTGCACCACTGTCAGCTGTTGTTGCACCACTGTCAGCTGCTGCTGTACCACTGTCAGCTGCTGCTGTACCACTGTCAGCTGCTGCTGTACCACGGTCAGCTGCTGCTGCACCACCGTCAGCTGCTGCTGCACCACCGTCAACTGTTGCTGCACCAATGTCAGCTGTACTACTCGAAGATGTGGAGAGAGTGTTGTTTGTGTGGTTTAAAAAGAAACAATTACGTACTGAGAAACAATTAACCCCAGAGGGTTTGCCACATAGGATAACCCAAGAAAGTCAGTGCGTCATTGAGGACTGTCTAACTTATTTCCATTGGGGTCCATAATCTTGTCCCCCAGGATGTGACCCACACCAGTGTCGCACCGTGCCTTCTTTTGCAGATGACACCCAAATCTGCATGACAGTGTCTTCCATTGCAGACACTGCAAGGCTCCAGGCACACATCAACCAAATCTTTCAATGGGCTGCAGAAAACAATATGAAGTTCAACGATGAGAAATTTCAATTACTCCGATATGGTAAACATGAGGAAATTAAAACTTCATCAGAGTACAAAACTTATTCCGGCCACAAAATAGAGCGAAAAACCAACGTCAAAGACCTGGGAGTGATCATGTCAGAGGATCTCACCTTCAAGGACCATAACATTGTATCAATTGCATCTGCTAGAAAAATGACAGGATGGATAATGAGAACCTTCAAAACTAGGGATGCCAAGCCCATGATGATACTCTTCAGTTCACTTGTTCTATCTAGGCTGGAATATTGCTGCATACTAACAGCACCTTTCAAGGCAGGTGAAATTGCTGACCTAGAAAATGCACAGAGAACCTTCACAGCGTGCATGATGGAGATAAAACACCTCAATTGCTGGGAGCGCTTGAAGTTCCTAAACTTGTACTCCCTGGAACACAGGCAGGAGAGATACATGATTATATACACCTGGAAAATCCTAGAGGGACTAGTACTGAACTTGCACACGAAAATCACTCACAACGAAAGCAAAAGACTTGGCAGATGATGCAACATCCCCCCAATGAAAAGCAGGGGTGTCACTAGCACATTAAGAGACCATACAATAAGTGTCAGGAGCCCGATACTGTTCAACTGCCTCCCAGCATACATAAGGGGGATTACCAATAGACCCCTGGCTGTCTTCAAGCAGGCACTGGACAAGCACCTAAAGTCGGTACCTGACCAGCCAGGCTGTGGCTCGTACGTTGGATTGATTGCAGCCAGCAGTAACAGCCTGGTTGATCAGGCTCTGATCCACCAGGAGGCCTGGTCACAGACCGAGCCACGGGGGTGTTGACCCTCGGAACTCTCTCCAGGTAAACTCCAGGTACTCCAGTTGACTAACACCCAGGTGAACAGGAAAAAATGCCTGGAACTAGTGCTCATATTGGTGAATTTAAGGCCAGCAAAGGTTGGTTTGAGAGATTTAAGAATCGTAGTGGCATACACAGTGTGATAAGGCATGGCGAAGCTGAAAAATTCCAGCCCCAACAACTGTTCAATTGTGATGAAACAGGCCTTTTCTGGAAGAAAATGCCAATCAGGACCTACATTACTCAGGAGGAAAAGGCACTCTCAGGACACAAGCCTATGAAAGACAGGCTCACTCTCATGTTTTGTTGTAATGCTAGTGGGGATTGCAAAGTGAAACCTTTACTCATGTATCACTCTGAAAATCCCAGAGTGTTCAAGAAAATCAGTGTCTCATAACTCATCAGTACTCTTCAATAAAGGTAAGTGTCATTTTAGTATTTATTTATGTATTTATTGTGCATGTCTCATTGTTTTCTTTGTAGGGAAATGTATATTTCATGTAAAAAAAATATTTTTTTTTTAGTACTTTTGGCTGTCTGGAACGGATTAATTGTATTTCTTATGGGGAAAACTAATTCGGCTAACGATAAATAAGGCTAAGGACAAGCTCTCTGGAACAGATTAAAATCGTTAGTCGAGGGTCCACTGTATATTTTTTTTTTATCTTACATGTCAACACTTTGTCTCCATGAGGAAGTGGAACATAATTCTTCCTCTGTAAGCCATGTGTGTCATAAGAGGCAACTAAAATGCCAGGAGCAAGGGGCTAGTAACCCCTTCTCCTGTATAAATTACTCAGTTTAAAAAGAGAAACTTTCACTTTTGGCCCACCTTGCCTCGGTGGGATATGGCCAGTTTGTTGAAAGAAGAAGAACACTAATTTTTCCTGTTGTTTTAGCTCATATTTAAGTCTGCCTGACATGCTGTGTGTACTATGGATTTTTCACAAAAAATTAATCTCAAGTTTTTTTTTTTTAACCCTTAAACTCTCTGAACGTAGATCTACATTTACGCACGTAGTGCTCCGACCTTTATTTTCTCCATTTGAAAGCATGTAAAAAAAAATGTAGATCTACGTTCAGAGTGCTACATGAGCGATCGTAGATCTACGTTTGGACAGTTTAAGGGTTAATAAATAATAATAATAATCTTCTTGTTTCAACAAACTGGCTATATCCCACCAAGGCAGGGTGGCCCACAGAGAAAAATAAAAGTCTCTCCTTTTAAATTGAGTAATGTATACAGGAGAAGGGGTTACTAGCCCCTTGCTCCCGGCATTTTACTCGCCTCTTACAACATGCATGGCTTATGGAGGAAGGATTCTTTTACAGTTCCCCACGAAGAATAATATACTATTATTGTTATTATTATTATTATTATTATATTATTATTATTATTATTATTATTATTATTATTATTATTATTATTATTATTATTATTATTATTATTATTATTATTCTTGTATATTTTGGCCCCTTTATAATGTTTTGAACATACTGAATAGGCTCTGGTTATTACATTCTCAAGGGAAAATGCTAAAATCATAGAGCAATAAAATGAGGATTGATCCAAGGAAGGATAGTGCCCTTCACCAGGTTCAAGTCACCCCCTTCAAGGATTTTGTATTTTTTTTTTTTTTTTTAACAAGTCAGCCATCTCCCACCGAAGCAGGGTGACCCAAAGAGAAAGAAAATCCTCAAAAAAAAAAAAATACTTTCATCATCATTCAACACTCACCTCACTCATACATAATCACTGTTTTTACAGAGGTGCCCAGATACAACAGTTTAGAAGCATATATAAAGATATATAACATATCCCTCCAAACTTCCAGTATCCCAAACCCCTCCTTTAAAGTGGAGGCATTGTACTTCCCATTTCCAGTACTCAAGTCTGGCTATATAAAAATAACTGGTTTCCCTGAATCCGATCACTAAATATTACCCTGCTCACACTCCAACAGCTCGTCAGGTCCCAAAAACCATTAGTCTCCATTCACTCCTATCTAACATGCTCATGCACTCTTGCTGGAAGTCCAAGCCCCTTGCCCATAAAACCTCCTTTACCCCCTGCCTCCAAACTTTTTGAGGATGACCCCTACCCTGACTTCCTTCCCCTATATGCTCTCCATGTCATTCTACTTTGATCCATTCTCTCTAAATGACCAGACCACCTCAGCAACCCCTCTTCAACTCTCTGACTAATACTTTTATTAAATCCACACCTTCTAATTTCCACACTCCAAATTTTCTGCATAATATTTACACCACACATTGCCCTTAGACAGGACATCTCCACTGCCTCCAACCGCCTCCTCGCTGCAGCATTTACAACCCAAGCTTCATACCCATTTAAGAGAATTGGTACCACAATACTTTCATACATTCCCTTCTTTGCCTCCATAGATAACATTTTTTGTCTCCACATATACCTTGATGCACCACTCACCTTTTTTCCTTCATCAATTCTATGGTTAACCTCATCCTTCATAAACCCATCCGCTGACATGTCAACTCCCAAATATCTGAAAATATTCACTTCTTCCATACTCCCTCCCTCCAATATGATATCCAATTTTTCTTTATTTAAATCATTTGATAACCTCATCGCCTTACTCTTATCTATGTTCACTTTATACTTTCTACCTTTACACACCCTCCCAAACTTGTCCACTATGCTTTGCAACTTTTCTTTAGACTCTCCCATAAGCACAGTATAATCAGCAAAAACTAACTGTGTCAACTCCCATTTTGTATTTGATTCCCCATAATTTAATCCCACCCCTCTCCCCAACACCCTAACATTTACTTCTTTTACAACCCCATCTATAAATATATTTAACAACTGTGGTGACATTACGCATTCCTGCCTAAGACCTACTTTTACTGGGAAGTATCTCCCTCTCTTCTACACACCCTAACCTGAACCTCACTATCCTCATAAAAACTTTACAGCATTTAGTAACTTACTACATATTCCATATACTTGCAACATCTGCCACATTGCTCCCCTTTCCACTCTATCATATGCCTTTTCTAAATCCCAAAATGCAATGAAAACTTCCCTACCTTTGTCTAAATACTGTTCACATATATACTTCAATGTAAACACTTGATCTACACATCCCTTATCCACTCTAAAACCTTCTTGCTCATCCAGAATTCTACTTTCTGTCTTCCCTCTAATTCTTTCAATAAAAACCCTACCATACACTTTTCCTGGTATACTCAGTAAACTTATTCCCCTATAATTTTTACAATCTCTTGTCCCCCTTCCCTTTATATAAAGGAACTATACATGCTCTCTGCCAATCTCTAGGTACCTTCCCTTCTTCATACATTTATTAAACAAAAATACCAACCACTCTAACACTATAAAATCCCCCCTGCTTTTAACATTTCTGTCATGATCCCATCAGTTCCTGCTGCTTTACCCCTTTTCATTCTATGTAATACCTCATGTACCTCCCCCACATTCACATCCTGCTCTTCTTCACTCCTAAGAGATGTTATACCTTCGTGACCAGGGCATGAAGTTACTGCCTCCCTTTCTTCATCGACATTTAAAAAGTTCCTCAAAATATTCCCGCCATCTACCCAATACGTCCAGCTCCCCCATCTACTGACTCCCCTGCTCCATTTTTAACTGATAAATCCATTTGTTCTCTAGGCTTTCTTAACTTGTTTATATCACTCCAAATTTTTTTTCATGTTTTCATTAAAATTTCTTGACAGTGCCTCTCCCACTCTATCATCTGCTCCCCTTTTTCACTCTCACCACTCTCTTCACCTTTCTTTTACTCTCCATATACTCTTCTCTTCTTATAATACTTCTGCTTTGTAAAAACCTCTCATAAGCTACCTTTTTCTCTTTTATCACACCCTGTACTTCATCATTCCACCAATCACTCCTCTTTCCTCCTGCACCCACCCTCCTATAGCCACAAACTTCTGCCCCACATTCTAATACTGCATTTTTAAAACTATTCCGACCCTCTTCAACCCCCCCATCCCTCCCACTACTCATACTTGCACTAGCCCCCCTTTCTGCCAATAATTGCTTATATTTCTCCCTAACTTCCTCCTCCCTTAGTTTATACACTTTCACCTCTCTCTTACTTGTTGTTGCCATTTTCCTTTTGTCCCATCTACCTCTTACTCTAACTGTAGCTACAACTAGATAATGATCTGATATATCAGTTGCCCTGCTTTAAACATGTACATCCTGAAGCCTTCCCATCAACCTTTTATCCACCAATACATAATCTAACAAACTACTTTCATTAAGTGCTGTATCGTACCTTGTATACTCATTTATCCTCTTTTTCATCAAATATGTATTACTTATTACCAAACCACTTTCTACACATAGCTCAATTAAAGGCTCCCCATTTTCATTTACCCCTGGCACCCAAAATTTACCTACTACTCCCCCCACAACATTTTTACTCACTGTATTATTGCAATCCCCAACCACAAGTACTCTCACACTTGGTTCAAAACTCTCCACACACTTACTCAACAATTCCCAAAATCTCTCTCTCTCCTCTACACTTCTCTCTTCTCCAGGTGCATACACGCTTACTATAACCCACTTTTCACATCCAGCCCTTATTTTACTCTACATAATCCTTGAATTAATACAATTATATTCCCTCTTTTCCTCCCATAACTTATCCTTCAACATTATTGCTACTCCTTTAACTCCAACTCTTTTTGAAACCCCTGACCTAATCCCATTTATTTCTCACCACTGAAACTCTCCCACCCCAGGGCATCCAGCTTCTCATTCATAACATCCACAATCCTCTCTTTCTTATCATTCGCACAACATCCATGCACATTCAGACATCCCACTTTGACGGTTTTCTTCTTTTTCTTTTTAGTAGGATATACAGGAATAGGGGTTACTAGCCCATTGTTTGGGGCATTTTAGTTGACTTTTACAACACGCATGGCTTACGGAGGAAAGATTCTTATTCCACTTCCCTATGGATATAAAAAGAAAAGTAATAAGAACAAGGCTATTGAGATAAAATCTGAGAAAACTCAGATGAGTGTATATACATAAACGTGTACATGTATGTGTAGTGTAACCTAAGTGTAAGTAGAAGTAGCAAGACGTACCTGAAATCTTGGATGTTTTTTATGAGACAGAAAAAAAAAAAGACACCAGCAATCCTACCATCATGTAAAACAGTTACAGGCTTTCGTTTTACACTCACTTGGCAGGACGGTAGTACCTCCCTGGGTGGTTGCTGTCTACCAACATACCACCTAAAAAAGATTTGTATATCAACAATAAATGACTAATTGTGTTACAATATTATGTTTGATGATTCCAGTCATGTTTCTCAGTAGCATTGTACTCAACAGGCCAGCTGTCTCTCATCTTCCAAGGGGTATATGCCCCTGATGCACGCTTCAATGCCTTTGTGGATGGTGTCATGATTAATATGGTGGCAGAAATGAAGAGGAAAAGAATGGACCCACTCTACTTCCGGGTATATGACCGTGGCATTATTGAGTAAGTCCATCTGTACAGTTTAACATTACACTGGCAATCAACTTTGTATTACAGTATATGGTATAAACCTTGGTAATGAATACCAACAAATGGTTACAATACAAAAACAGAAATTCACATGTTATTTAATATCAGGAATACTTTAATCCCTAAAATAAGAATTAAATTAACCTTGTATTGGAAATTATTATTGTATTAATGGGAATACCAAATCCGTAAGAGTCATATAGTGCCTGGGAAATGGGAGGGATGGGGGTAATCAGGTTTGATCTGAGAAAGGAGAAGTTATTATTGTATTATATTATAGGAAAATGCTTAACACATGGAGTGCATGAGGAATGAGAGTAAACGAGCCTTGAGCTGAGGAATTGGAGGGTAGGTCTAGTTCAAGGGACAAAAAGCTTTAATTCTTTGGATCAAGAGCTGCCCTTCATCAGCATGAAGATACCACCTTCCCTTGAAGGACGTTAGTGTAAACAGAAGATGTATGCATCACAGTTCAGATGGCTTTGTGAAGAGTAATGTCAGTACACTGCTGGCAAGACAGTAAATCAGTGAATGATAGTGAGTTTCCTTTTTTTTTTTTGGGGGGGGGGTCTCCCTATCTCAGTGAGAGACAACTGGTTTGTTAGAAAGTAAATAAATTAATAATGAAGATAATGACAATATTTGTAACCATCCTTGTTTATTAATATTATTTTATGAAAATATAGGGAAGTACTAAGCCTTAAAGGATTATTCACCTCTATAGGGAAGTAGTTAATCAAATTTGATCTAAAAAAGGGGAGGGTAGCCCCAGTTCCTTGGATTAAGAGTTTTTCAACAGTATTAAATCATCTTTCAAATGGATGCATCAGACAGTGATGAAAAAGTGGTATTCATGATAGGAAATAAATAACTATCTGCATGATGTGTATATAATATAAATTAATTATGTGTATCAATTATAGACATGTCACAACAAGTGAAGTGCGAGGCAGTCGACAAGATGAGTCAACAACTGTGTCTTCTGTCAACTCTGCTTCCAAGAATGGAAGGTAAGTTATTAATTTTATCTACTTACACACACACACACACACATGCAGGCACTTGAACATGTATGCACAAGTGCACGCACATGCACTACTAGTGGACTTAGAAGTGACCAGCAAAGAGGTGGGGCCAGGAGCTGTGACTCAACCCCTGCAACCACATACATGTGAGCATACACACCCACATGTGTGTTTGCACACACAGGCATGCATACACACCTTTGTGTGTGTACTCACCTATGTGTTCACGTATATATGGCTGCAAGGGTAGAGTCTCAGCTCCTGGTCCCGCCTCTTCTCTAGTTGCTACTAGGTCCACACTCTCCCTGCTCCAAGAGCCTTATCATATCCATTCTTAAAACTATATATGGATCCTGCCTCTGCTACTTCTTTCCAAATTGTTCCACTTCCTGACAACTCTAAGGCTGAAGAAATACTTCCTAACATCCCTATGACTCATCTGAATTTTCAACTTCTAGTTGTATCCTCTTGTTCCTGTATTCCATCTCTTGAAACATTCTGTCCCTGCCCACCTTGTCAAATCCTCAGTATTTTATACATCATTATCATGTCCTCCTTGTCCCTCCTGTCCTCAGTGTCGCAAGGTTAAGTTCCTTTAACCTCTTCTCATAGGGCATACTCCTTAGTTCTGGGACTAGCTTGTTGCAAACTTTCGCACTTTCTTTAATTTCTTGATATGGCTGACCAGGTGCGGGTTCCATGCTGGTTCTGTATAATCCAATATGGGCCTGACATACACAGTGTAAAGAATCATGAATAACTCCTTACTTAGATGTTGAAATGCTATTCTTAGGTTTGCCAAGTGCCCGTGTGCTACAGCAGTTGTTTGGTTGATGTTCACCTCAGGGGATATGTTCAGTATGATACTCATCCCAAGATCCTTATTGTTGAGTGAGGTTTGCAGCCTTTGACCCCTGAGCCTGTACCCTATCTGTGGTCTTCTTCCCCAAGATTCATAACTTTGCACCACTTGGTGGGGTCAGATTCCAGGAGTTTTGTCAGACCAGGCTTGCAGCCTGTCCTACAGTCTTTCCTTATCCTCGTTCACTTGTATTCTCATTAGTTTCATGTTGTCTGCAAACAGGGACACCTCTGAATCTATCCCTTCTGTCATTTCATTCACATATATGTACAAGAAACAGCACCAACCCTAGGATTGATCCACGTGTGTGTGTGTGTGTGTGTGTACTCACCTATTTGTGGTTGCAGGGGTTGATCTATAGCTCCTGGCCCCACCTCTTCACTGATTGCTACTAGGTCCTCTCTCCCTGCTCCATAAGTAAGTAAGTAAGTAAGTTTATTCACGTATACACAAATACAGTTACATAGAATTATCATACATAGCAGCATATGTGTAGAGAACCTAGAATAACCCAAAAAAGTCAGACAGAGTGACTTATTTCCATTGGGTCCATGAGGTTTATCAAACTTTGTCTTAAAACTGTGTATGGTTCCTGCCTCCACTACATCACTTTCTAAGCTATTCCACTTCCTGACAGCTCTGTGACTGAAGAAATACTTCCTAACATCCCTTTGACTCACCAGAGTCTTCAGCTTTCAGTTGTGACCCCTTGTTTCTGTATCCCATCTCTGGAACATCCTGTCTTTGTCTACCATGTCAATTCCTTGCAGTATTTTATATGTCATTACCATGTCTCCCCTAACCCTCCTGTCCTCCAGTATTGTCAGGCTGATTTCCCTTAATCTTTTTTCGTAGGACAATCCCCTTAGCTCTGAGACTAGTCTTGTTGCAGACCTTTGCATTTTCTCTAATTTCTCGACATGCTTGACCAAGTGTAGATTCCAAACTGGTGCTTCATACTCCAATATGCGCTTGACGTATATGGTGTACAGAGTCTTCAATGATTCCTTATTGAGGTATTAGACTGCTATTCTTAGGTTTGCCAGGTTCCCATATGCTGCAGCAGTTATCTCGTTGATGTGCGCCTCAGGAGATGTGCTCGGTATTATACTCACCCCAAAATCTTTTTCCTTGAGTGAGGTTTGTAGTCTTTGGCCACCTAGACTATACTCTGTCTGCGGTCTTCTTTGCCCTTCCCCGATCTTTATGACTTTGCATTTCGCAGAGTTAAATTCAAGGAGCCAGTTGCTGGACCAGGCTTGTGGCCTGTTCAACAACTGAACAGGTCTGTTGTCCTGCCTGATCCTCATCTAATTTAATTCTCATTAACTTCACATCATCTACAAACAAACACACTTCTGAGTGTATCCTTTCCATCATGTTATTCACATATACCAAGAACAGCACAGGTCCTAGGACTGAGCCCCTGTGGAACCGTGCTCGTCACAGGCACCCACCCTGACACACCGTCACATACCATGACTTGTTGTTGCCTCCCTGTAAGATATTCTCTGATTCATTGCAGTGCCTTTCCTGTTACGCGTGCCTGATCCTCTAGCTTTTACATTAATCTCTTGTGAGGAACTGTGTTGCAGGCCTTCTTGCAGTCCAAGAAAATGCAATCTACACACCCTTCTCTCTTGTCTTACTTTTGTTACCTTGCCATAAAACTCCAGTAGGTTTGTGACACAGGATTTTCCTTCCCTGAAATTGTGCTCATTGTCATTTATAAGCTTGTGTCTTTCTAAGTGCTCTACTACTCTTCTCCTGATAATCTTCTCGACTTTGCATGCTATACATGTCAGTGACACAGGTCTGTAGTTTAATGCCTCGTGTCTCTCCTTTCTTAAAAATTGGGACTACATTTTGTGTGTGTGTTAGTTACCATTGTGTGTGTGTGTGTGTGTGTGTGTGTCAGTGTCAGTGTGTGTGCGTGTCAGTGTGTGTGCGTGTCAGTGTGTGTGCGTGTCAGTGTGTGTGCGTGTCAGTGTGTGTGCGTGTCAGTGTGTGTGCGTGTCAGTGTGTGCGCATGTCAGTGTGTGCACGTGTCAGTGTGTGCGCGTGTCAGTGTGTGCGCGGGTCAGTGCGTGTGCGTGTCAGTGTGTGTGCGTGTCAGTGTGTGTGCATGACAGTGTGTGTGCGTGTACTCACCTATTTGTGGTTGCAGGGGTCGAGTCATAGCTCCTGGCCCCGCCTCTTCACTGATTGCTACTAGGTCCTCTCTCTCCCTGCTCCATGAGCTTTATCATACCTCGCCTTAAAACTATGTATGGTTCCCGCCTCCACTACTTCACTTTCTAGGCTATTCCACGGCTTGACTACTCTATGACTGAAGAAATACTTCCTAACATCCCTTTGATTCATCTGAGTCTTCAACATCCAATTGTGACCTCTTGTGTCTGTGTCCCATCTCTGGAACATCCTATCTTTGTCCACCTTGTCTATTCCGCCCAGTATTTTGTATGTCGTTATCATGTCTCCCCTGACCCTCCTGGCCTCCAGTGTCGTCAGGCCAATTTCCCTCAACCTTTCTTCGTAGGACAATCCCCGTAGCTCTGGGACTAGTCTTGTTGCAAACCTTTGCTCTTTCTCTAATTTCTTGACGTGCTTGACTAGGTGTGGATTCCAAACTGGTGCTGCATACTCCAGTATGGGCCTGACGTAAATGGTATACAGAGTCTTGAACGACTCCTTACTGAGGTATCGGAACGCTATCCGTAGGTTTGCCAGGCACCCGTATGCTGCAGCAGTTATCTGATTGATGTGCGCCTCAGGAGATATGCTCGGTGTTATACTCACCCCCAGATCTTTTTCCTTGAGTGAGGTTTGCAGACTTTGGCCATCTAACCTATATTGTGTCTGCGGTCTTCTTTGCCTTTCCCCAATCTTCAGACTTTGCATTTGGCATGAGGTTAAACTCAAGGAGCCCATGTTGCGGACCATGGCTTGTAGCCCTGTCAGGTCTCTTTGTATCCTGCCTGATCCTCATCCGATTTGATTCTACTCATTACTTCCATCGGTGTGCGTGTCAGTGATGTTGTGGCGTGGTCGGTGGTGTTGCAGTGTCAGTGTGTGTGCGTGTCAGTGTCGCGTGTCATGTAGTTGTGTGCTGTCAGTGAGTTGCGTGATGTTAGTTACACATGTGTGCTGTCACATGTCGTTGCATAGGCGTGTGTTAGGAGAGTAGGGTGTGGTAGTGTGTGTGACGTAGTGAGTGTGTGGTGTGTGGTGTGGTGTGTGTGTGAGTGTGTTGGTGTGTGTGTGTGTGTGGTGTGTGTGGTGGTGTGTGTGTGTGTTGTGTGTGTGGTGTGTGTGTGGTGTGTGTGTGTGGTGTGTGTGTGGTGTGGTGTGTGTGGTGTGTGTGTGGTGTGGTGTGTGTGTGTGGTGTGTGGTGTGTGGTGTTTGTGGTGGTGTGTGTGGGGTGTGTGTGTGTGGTGTGTGTGGTGTGTGTGTGTGTGTGTGTGTGTGTGTTGGTGTGTGTGTGTGTGTGTGTGGTGTGGTGGTGTGTGGTGTGTGTGTGTGTGTGTGTGGGGTGTGTGGGTGTGGGGTGTGTGTGTGTGTGTGTGTGTGTTGTGTGTGTGTGGTGTGTGGTGGGGTGTGTGTGTTGTGTGGGTGGTGTGTGTGGTGTGTGTGGGGGTGTGTGTGTGTGTGTGTGGGTGTGGTGTGTGTGTGTGTGTGTGTGGTTTTGTGTGTGTGTGGTGTGTGTGTGTGGTGTGTGTGTGTGGTGTGTGTGTGTGTGTGGTGTGTGTGTGTGTGGTGTGTGTGTGTGGTGTGTGTGTGTGTACTCACCTATTTGTACTCACCTATTTGTGGTTGCAGGGGTCGAGTCACAGCTCCTGGCCCTGCCTCTTCGCTGATTGCTACTAGGTCCTCTCTCTCCCTGCCCCATGAGCTCTATCATACCTCGCCTTAAAACTATGTATGGTTCCTGCCTCCACCACATCACTTTCTAGGCTATTCCATGGCCTGACTACTCTATGACTGAAGAAATACTTCCTAACATCCCTTTGATTCATCTGAGTGTGTGTGTGTGTGTGTGTGTGTGCTCACCTCACCTAATTGTACTCACCTAATTGTGGTTGCAGGGGTCGAGACTCAGCTCCTGGCCAGTGTGCATGTCAGTGTGTGTGCGTGTCAGTGTGTGTGAGTGTCAGTGTGTGTGTGTGGGTGTGTGTGTGGATGTGTGTGTGGGTGTGTGTGTGTGTGTCTGTGTGTGTGTGTGTGTGTGTGTGTGTGTGTGTGTGTGTGTGTGTGTGTGGGTGTGTGTGTCATTGTGTGGTGTGTGTGTGTGTGTGTGTGTACTCACCTAATTGTACTCACCTAATTGTGGTTGCAGGGGTCGAGACTCAGCTCCTGGCCCCGCCTCTTCACTGATCGCTACTGGAGCCTCTCTCTCTCTGCTTCCTGAGCTTTGTCATACCTCTTCTTAAAACTATGTATGGTTCCTGCCTCCACTACTTCACTTGCTAGGCTATTCCACTTGCTGACAACTCTATGACTGAAGAAATACTTCCTAACGTCCGTGTGACTCGTCTGAGTCTTCAGCTTCCAGTTGTGACCCCTTGTCCCTGTGTCCCCTCTCTGGAACATCCTATCTCTGTCCACCTTGTCTATTCCCCGCAGTATCTTGTATGTCGTTATCATGTCTCCCCTGACCCTTCTGTCCTCCAGTGTCGTCAGTCCGATTTCCCTTAACCTTTCCTCGTACGACATTCCCTTGAGCTCTGGGACTAGCCTTGTTGCAAACCTTTGTACTTTCTCTAACTTCTTGACGTGCTTGACCAGGTGTGGGTTCCAGACTGGTGCTGCATACTCCAGTATGGGCCTAACATACACAGTGTACAGTGTCTTGAACGATTCCTTATTAACCCTTTCAGGGTCCAAGGCCCAAATCTGGAGTCACGCACCAGTGTCCAAGAATTTAAAAAAAAAATTTGTTATTTTTTCTTATGAAATCGTAGAGAATCTTTTTGTGAAGGTAATAAAACAAAAATTACGAAATTATTTACGAAATTATGCTCTCGCGAATTTTGATGTGTCAGCGATATTTACGAATCGGCGATTTTGCCGACTTTGACTCCCATTTTAGGCCAATTACATTATTCCAATCAACCAAATTCTTAGCTATTTCACTAGTATTACTTCTATTCTATCGATTGAGCACAAGAAATCGCCAAGTCAACTGTTTCAACTACAAAATAAAGTGATCGGAAATTGTTAATTTGGCCAATTTAACACAAAGTTCAAAATATTCCAATTTCAAAATAGGGTCCAGAATGAACAATGTAGGCATTCCTGGCACTAAACTAACATTTCCTCTGTTCATTAGTTATGTTTTGAGGCTTTACAAATAAATTCCATTTTTATTTTTATTCACATAATGAATTTTTATTCACACCAAAAAATAGAAGATTTACTGTTATGCAATACTGTAATAATTGTATAAATATCATCACCATATTTGTGAATGTATATTAGACCCACCAGCTGACGTGTATTAGACGTGTGAGGTCGTTTGTTTACTCTTGAATATTGGCAAAAATTTAACATTTCTGCTACTTTGAGCTCAGTTTCAAGCCATTTCCAGTGCTAAAACCAATCAAAATCATCTCTATTTTCTGTAATATGTCTCCCATTCTATCAAATGAGACCAAGAAATCGCAAATACAGCTATAAAAAACATACAAAAAAACACTGCAAAGTTGCTGTTTTAATCGAAAAATCATGATTTCATTTTTTTTCTCTCATTATACACAGTGTGCTGCAGGATCTGTTTTATGTGGTGCACACATACCACATAGATGTATTCTCTCATATCTAGGCCCAAATGTACCACTCACAGTTTATCAGAGTGAGCTGAGCTCATGGCGTAGATCTACGGTTTGGACCCTGAACATAAAGCCGTAGATCTACGGGACGGACCCTGAAAGGGTTAAGGTATTGGAACGCTATTCTCAGGTTTGCCAGGCGCCCGTATGCTGCAGCGGTTATTTGGTTGATGTGTGCCTCCGGTGATGTGCTCGGTGTTATGGTCACCCCAAGGTCTTTCTCCCTGAGTGAGGTCTGTAGTCTTTGTCCACCTAGCCTATACTCTGTCTGCAGTCTTCTTTGCCCCTCCCCAATCTTCATGACTTTGCATTTGGCTGGATTGAATTCGAGAAGCCAGTTACTGGACCACATGTCCAGCCTCTCCAGGTCTCTTTGCAGTCCTGCCTCATCCTCGTCCGATTTAATTCTTCTCATCAACTTCACGTCATCTGCGAACAGGGACACTTCAGAGTCTATTCCTTCCATCATGTCGTTCACATATATCAAAAATACCACTGGTCCTAGAACACCCCTGTGGGACCCCGCTTGTAACAGGCGCCCACTGTGATACCTCTTCACGTACCATGACTCGTTGCTGCCTCCCTGTCAGGTATTCCCTTATCCATTGCAGTGCCCTTCCTTTTACGTGTGCCTGATCCTCCAGCTTCTGCACTAATCTCTTGTGGGGAACTGTGTCAAAGACCTTCCTGCAGTCTAGGAAAACGCAATCTACCCACCCCTCTCTCTCGTGTCTTACTTCTGTTACCTTGTCATAAAACTCCAGGAGGTTTGTGAAGGCAAATCTTGCTTCACAAACCTCCTGGAGTTTTATGACAAGGTAACAGAAGTAAGACACGAGAGAGAGGGGTGGGTAGATTGCGTTTTCCTAGACTGCAGGAAGGTCTTTGACACAGTTCCCCACAAGAGATTAGTGCAGAAGCTGGAGGATCAGGCACACGTAAAAGGAAGGGCACTGCAATGTGTGTGTGTGTGTGTGTCTGTGTGGGTGTGTGTGTGTCAGTGTGTGTGTGTCTGTGTGTGTGTATGTGTGTGTCTGTGTGAAAGAATATGTGTGTGTGTGTTTGCATGAAAGAATGTATGTGTATAAGAACATAAGAAAGAAGGAACACTGCAGCAAGCCTAATGGCCCATGTGAGAGAGAGTGAAGTGCTTGAGATCTAGAAAACTTACTGCAACTTGTATACTGCTGCATTATAGCTCATGCTAATGTTTTCAACATGCGCTTATTGCAGGCAACGTGGCAGTGCTATTGGAGGAGGAGTGATTCGTGGATTAACCAATGTTAAGCGCTTTGGTAATGCTGAAGTTCAGATTGCTGGAAACTTAACCCTGGTGAGCAAATATGCTTGTATGTTTTTAGCTTAGCAAACATTGTTTTATTGTTTTTGTTTTGCATTTTCTTGTAATATGTATTAGAAATTTTTATTGTATTTTAACACACTAGTTGACCCCCACCAAGGTCAGGTGACCCCAAGAAAAGGAAACATTCACCATCATTCATTCAGTTGCTGACTTGCCAGAAACAAGGACATCAAAACTCAAATGACCCTCTGAACTGTGACATCCCTACCTCTTCTCCTGAGTGCAGGCACTGTACTGCCTACCTCCAGCTAATCGATTTCCTTGATTCCCATCATAAATGTTGTCTTGCTCAAGCTCCAATAGCACAGCACATTAAGCCATAAAAAAAACCTTGCCTTCACTCATTGCAATCTAACATGCTCATGCAAGCTTGCATGAGGCTAACACCTCTAGCACTCAAAGCTGCCATTATTCCCACCCATCTTCCCTCCAACTCTTCCTGGGATAACCCCCTAACCTAACCCCTCCTTCCTTTTACTGCTGAATTATATGTTGGACATCCTAATCTGCTTTTTAAATTCCCAAACAGCCTTAACAGCCTCTCCTTGGTCCTCTTGAGTATACGTTTGGTAACAACACACTGTCTTCTAATTTCTATTCTTTGAATTTTCTGTATAATATTTACATCATATATCTTCAAACATTGTTGGTAGTAGGTTGGTTGACAGTAACCACCCAGGGAGGTACTACCGTCCTGCCAAGTGATTGTAAAACGAAAGCCTGTAATTGTTTTACATGATGGTAGGATTGCTGGTGTCTTTTTTCTGTCTCATAAACATGCAAGATTTCAGGTATGTCTTGCTATTTCTACTCACACTTAGGTCACACTACACATACATTTTTTTTTTTTTCAACAAGTCGGTCGTCTCCCACCGAGGCAGGGTGACCCAAAAAAGAAAGAAAATCCCCAAAAAGAAAATATTTTCATCATCATTCAACACTTTCACCACACTCGCACATTATCACTGTTTTTGCAGAGGTGCTCAGAATACAACAGTCTAGAAGCATACACATATAAATATAAATATACATGTACAAGCATATATATACACACACATATAAATATACATGTACAAGCATATATATACACACACCCCTCTGGGCTTTCTTCTATTTTCTTTCTAGTTCTTGTTCTTGTTTATTTTCTCTTATCTCCATGGGAAAGTGGAACAGAATTCTTCCTCCGTAAGCCATGCCTGTTGTAAGAGGCAACTAAAATGCCGGAAGCAAGGGGCTAGTAACCCCTTCTGTATAAATTACTAAGTTTAAAAAGAGGAACTTTCGTTTTTCTTTTTGGGCCACCCTGCCTTGGTGGGATACGGCCAGTTTGTTGAAAAAAAAAAAAAAAAAAACTTCAAACATGACATCTCCTCTGCCTCAGGCTGCTTCCTTGCTGCAACGTTCAAAGCCCATGCCTCATAACCGTATACCAGTGTCAGTGCCACTGTTCTGGTACATTCCCCTTTTTGTCTCCCTAGATAACTTCATGTCCATAAATGTTTCAGCACACCACCTACCTTTTTATCTACTAGGTAGTAGGTTGGTAGACAGCAACCACCCAGGGAGGTACTACTGTCCTGCCAAGTGAGTGTAAAATGGAAGCCTGTAATTGTTTTACCTGATGGTAGAATTGCTGGTGTCTTTTTTCTGTCTCATAAACATGCAAGATTTCAGGCACGTCTTGCTACTTCTACTTACACTTAGGTCACACTACACATGCGTGTACAAGCATATATATACACACACCGTCTTAGTTTTCTTCTTTCTTACTAGTTCTTGTTCTTGTTTGTTTCCTCTTTATCTCCATGGGGAAGTGGAACAGAATTCTTCTCCCTAAGCCATGCATGTCATAAGAGGTGACTAAAATGCCGGAAGTAAGGGGCTAGTAACTCCTCCTCCTGTATACATTATTAAAGTTAAAAAGAGAAACTTTCTTTTTGGGCCACCCTGCCTCGGTGGGTTATGGCTGGTTTGTTGAAAGAAAGATGATGATTTTTTTTTGTAACATTAAAAATAATAATTTATTTTCCAATAAGATACGTTATTCTCATTTCCTTTCTCTTTCACGTGTTCACTCGTAATTTTTATTATAAATCTTAATTAATTATTTCAGGGTATTTAATGGAGGTTCAGACATATTTTTTCTCCAGCTGCTGCTTGGTTTCTTTGCAGTAGCCTAAGAATGCTTCTCTATGTACCTTATTTTTTAGCTATTGTTTATCCTGGTAAAACAAAGTGGGATTTGTTATTGAATAGTATAGCTTCATATTTGAAAATCTTAGCTTATTATTATTATTAGAATCGTGGAAAAAGGCTGAACTCACAGAAGTCATACAGTGCTTGTGGAATGGAAGATAATCAGATTTGATCCAAGTAAAGATAGGATAACTCTATTTCTTTGGATCAAGAGCCTTTCACTGACATCAAGACACCCTCCTTGAAGGGTGCAAATGTTAAAGCAAGTTTAAATAATAGTTGATGAGTTTTCTACAATTCAGGTTCGGAGTCACTATGTATATGGACCTCTCAACATTGAGCTTGTGTTCCAAACTGACAAAGGTGTTAAAACCATCAATTCAACTTTGACTGCTGTGGCTGCACATGCTGTTACTGAAGTGAATGACAACAGCTCCAAACTCATTGATTTCATCATTGACAGGTAGGAACACTATGCCTCCTATTTTCAGGTTGTAATCTACAGGTACTGTTTTGTTTTGAAGACAGGATCTGGGGTCTGCTCTGCCTGCAGCTAGATATGTTTTTCTACACCTCCTTTGATGGTAATTTCACCAAAATGATCCTGAAACACTGATAGAAGTTTCCCAACTTACAGATTCGTGCACACTGGCTTACTGGGCCTCTTGACTTGATCATAGATTACCGTTCAAGTCCAGGTATCACCAGAGTCCGTACTGTCCTCCAGGCTGTCCAGTTAGATACACTGACCACTATAGACCGATTTGGTGCTGAAATGTCAGATTTTCATATCGTAAGGTATGTTGACTTAGTGACACCTTGACTTTGACTTTTAGCTACTGATTATAATACTATCAGTTGTACTTTCTGAAATATGGGTATAGGTGTAAATACTGTATGTTTATTATATTTCTTGTTTATTTCAAATGTAACACTCCATTTCTTTACTGATAGACATATGACTTACATCAACTATTATAATGCATTACTGACAAGACTGGCCTAGATTACAATGTAAAGTAACTTTTTGTGGTGGTTAGCAAAGAACTTGGCAGCCTGTGAGCTCAGTGTTCTGCCAGTACCATTAGAGAATTCTTAAATTTGTGATTGTGGCTACAGGATACTTTGTGTATAATCCTTAAAAAATCGCTTATTATATAGCAGAAATTAGTAAATTTTACCAGATTAAAATGAACTAATTCTTTACAATACTATCATACATAAAAGTGTTATTCTCAAGCCTAATCACAAAGACACTAAGCAAAATTTGCATACTGCTTGTCATATTTGTTACCTCACTGCTTACACTTGCCATCAGCCCGCTGTTTGACTACATGCCGTACTATGGAAACCGAACCTTGGCACAGCAGCAGACAGCTGAGCTTGTGGTACGCCACTTGTTCTCCAATGCGTCCTTCATGGCTACCCTCCTGCGGGATGCCTACGAGCTTGCTTCCTATGACAAGATTATTCCCCAGTTTGGTACAGAATCTAACTATTATTCTGTCTTAAAGTACTTATTCAAAGGAACACCAAGTGCAAGTGGAAGGTCTCAACCTTTGGACCAAGAAGCATCCATAGTAGGAGTGCCCTCAGCCATAGCTACTTACTTGGCTGATACTGTACATTCTGCTCCTGTTATTCTTAGGAATTTGGGATAAACTTGAAAAAGAATTTAATGGTATGTATGTGATATTTTTTTACAGGATATACATTTCTGATAATTATAAGTAATGGCAGAGATATCTTTGGAAGTACATTATGGTGAAACTCACAGGAGTGGCAGTTGGTGCATAGTGAATTTACAATGCTGTACATTACTGTACAAATTTTAAAACACTGAAATAGTTTTTAGTATCAAAGTAGTACAGTACATACAAGAGCAGTCATCAATATTATAAGGAAAACACTTAGACATGTAATTTTTGGATATTTAATTTTTTATTTTTTAGGATAAACCTCCTTCCCAACCATGTTTTATTTTGTTCTTTCAACCTGTCTTATTTTTTGTTCTTTATCTTAGGAATTACCATGGTGAAAAAATATCTGGATTTTCTCAAGCTTTATGTATACAGTAGGGCCCCACTTTACAGCATTTCGCCTTACGGCATTCTGCTAATACGGCAATTTCAAATTATGACTAAAGTTTGCTATTTGGTGAGCGGTCTTTCAAATACAGCGCGCCCCACCTGATTTGTTTACATTCTATGTGAGCACATATATCTATTATGTCTGGAAATTGTCCAAAATTTTAAGTGTTTTAAAGTTATTGCATATTTTATAAGTACTCTGATAATTATACTTGTGTGTACCTGTACCTAAATATACTTACTGTGCTGGCATGCAGGTACACATTAAAATCACTAAGAGTGTCTCTAGTCTTGATGCCTTAATAATAATACATGTAATATCTTGGGCCCATTAAATGTTGTATATTACAGTAATATAGACATTTCTATTAATCCATCTATGATATTTTTTCAAAATTATATAATAAACACACTACATAACATATAAACATGATACATACACCCACAGTATAAAAATTGACATAAATATAAGATTTTTTTACCAAGCGGTCAGAAGAATTAAGTTTTCTCTAGTGAAACACCAGTAACTTAACTAGAAATTTATTACTTTCGTATGCCTTCACTCTATCTCTTCACTCTATATAGCTATTCACAACCCTTGTGGGTTTAGTGCTTCTTTTTTTTAGTATGATTATAATCATTTTATATATTTATTAACACATCGGCCGATTCCCACCAAGGCAGGATGGCCCGAAAAAGAAAAACTTTCATCATTCACTCCATCACTGTCTTGCCAGAGGGGTGCTTTACACTACATTTATAAAACTGCAACATTAACACCCCTCCTTCAGAGTGTAGACACTGTACTTCCCATCTCCAGGACTCAAGTCCGGCCTGCCGATTTCCTTGAATCCCTTCATAAATGTTACTTTGCTCACACTCCAACAGTACGTCAAGTATTAAAAACCATTTGTCTCCATTCACTCCTATCAAATATGCTCATGCACACTTGCTGGAAGTCCAAGCCCCTCACACACGAAACCTCCTTTACCCCCCTCCCTCCAACTCTTCCTAGGCCGACCCCTACCCCACCTTCCCTCCACTACAGATTTATACACTCTTGAAGTCATTCTGTTTTGTTCCATTCTCTCTACATGGCCAAACCACCTCAACAACCCTCCTTAGCACTCTGGATAATAGTTTTGGTAATCCCACACCTCCTAATTTCCGAACTACGAATTCTCTGCATTATATTCACACCACACATTGCCCTCAGACATGACATCTCCACTGCCTCCAGCCTTCTCCACGTTGCAGCATTCATCACCCATGCTTCACACCCATACAAGACTGTTGGTACAACTATACTCTCATACACTCCCCTTTTCACTTCCACAGACAAAGTTCTGTCTCCACAGACTCCTCAGTGCACCACTCACCCTTTTCCTCTTGTCAATTCTGTGATTCACCTCATCATTCATAGACCCATCTGCTGACACATCCACTCCTAAATCTCTGAATACATTCACCTTCTCCATACTCTCTCCCTCCAATCTGATATCCAGTCTTTTGTCACCTAATCTTTTTGTTATCCTCATAACCTTACTCTTTCCTATATTCACTTTTAATTTTCTTCTTTTACATTTTATTTTATTATCACACTGGCCGATTCCCACCAAGGCAGGGTGGCCCGAAAAAGAAAAACTTTCACCATCATTCACTCCATCACTGTCTTGCCAGAAGGGTGCTTTACACTACAGTTTTTAAACTGCAACATTAAAACCCCTCCTTCAGAGTGCAGGCACTGTACTTCCCATCTCCAGGACTCAAGCCCGGCCTGCCGGTTTCCCTGAACCCCTTCATAAATGTTACTTTGCTCACACTCCAACAGCACGTCAAGTATTAAAAACCATTTGTCTCCATTCACTCCTATCAAACACGCTCATGCATGCCTGCTGGAAGTCCAAGCCCCTCGCACACAAAACCTCCTTTACCCCCTTCCTCCAACCTTTCCTAGGCTGACCCCTACCCTGCCTTCCCTCCACTACAGATTTATACACTCTTGAAGTCATTCTGTTTCGCTCCATTCTCTCTACATGTCCGAACCACCTCAACCCTTCCTCAGCCCTCTGGACAACAGTTTTGGTAATTCCGCACCTCCTTCTAACTTCCAAACTATGAATTCTCTGCATTATATTCACACCACACATTGCTCTCAGACATGACATCTCCATTGCCTCCAGCCTTCTCCTCACTGCAACATTCATCACCCATGCTTCACACCCATATAAGAGCGTTGGTAAAACTATACTCTCATACATTCCCCTCTTTGCCTCCAAGGACTAAGTTCTTTGTCTCCACAGACTCCTAAGTGCACCACTCACCCTTTTCCCCTCATCAATTCTATGATTCACCTCATCTTTCATAGACCCATCCGCTGACACATCCACTCCCAAATATCTGAATACATTCACCTCCTCCATACTCTCTCCCTACTTTTACATACCCTACCAAATTCATCCACCAACCTCTGCAACTTCTCTTCAGAATCTCCCAAAAGCACTGTGTCATCAGCAAAGAGCAACTGTGACAACTCCCACTTTGTGTTTGATTATAAGAACATAAGAACAGAAAGGAGGAACACTGCAGCAGACCTGTTGGCCCATACTAGGCAGGTCCTTCACAGATCCATCCCACTAATAGAATATTTGCCCTCATAAGAACATAAGAAATAGGGAACACTGCAACAAAGTTTTAGCCTCTATAACTGTACTGGGGAGTTTATTCCACTCATCCACAACTCTATTACCAAACCAGTGCTTTCCTATATCCTTCCTGAATCTGAATTTTTCCAACTTGAAACCGTTGCTGTGAGTCTTTTAAGTCTACCCCTCTTGCCAAGACCCTAGCATTCACTTCTCTTACAACCCCATTTATAAATATATTGAACAACCACGGTGACATCACACATCATTGTCTAAGGCCTACTTTTACTGGGAAATAATCTCCCTCTCTCCTACATACTCTAACCTGAGCCTCACTGTCCTCGTAAAAACTCTTCTGCTTTCAGTAACCTACCTCCTATACCATACACCTGCAACATCTGCCACATTGCTCCCATATCCTAATAATGACTTGTAATAATAATTTGTCAGAGCATCATTCCTTCTAAAAATTACATGAGAATGGAAGTGTTGGTCTTTGTTTATTCTACTGTACCACTGTGGAGACAACTTGTACATAATGTAAGGTGTTTGCATGAATGTTTATGAACCATAACCAGATGCTTTGTCCATTTGTTTACATAGTGGGTGGGGTGGCCAGGCGGGCTACCCTACCCTACCCTACCTTCCACATGCCCTACAAATAAATATTTTTCATCTCGCCCTACATTAAGACCATTAAGACTACAAATATTTTAAGGTAAGTAATGAGTGCACTGTATATGGATTTTATCACTCTAGGGAACTTAAAGCATCGTAGTATATTATGTGTGGGTGGGGTGGACAGGAGGGCTACCATACCTACCACACCTGACTTCTTACAGTAAATACTACTCACCTTTTGCCCTACATTAAGACTCAAAATATTTCGAGGTAAATAATGAGTGTACTGTGTGTGTATTTTACTTTTTATTGCTTTTAGTGCTAACTTAATATCTTTCTTTCAACACACCGGCCGTATCCCACCGAGGCGGGGGTGGCCCAAAAGGAAAAACGAAAGTTTCTCCTTTTACATTTAGTAATATATACAGAAGGGGTTACTAGCCCCTTGCTCCCGGCATTTTAGTCGCCTCTTACAACACGCATGGCTTACGGAGGAAGAATTACTTAATATATGTTAGTGTAAACTTGTTATCTGGCATTTATATGCATTTGTAAGTGGAAAAAAATGGTATTCTGCTTTCCGGCAATGTCTGCTCTCCGGCAGTAGCCTGGAACCTAATCTGCCGTATAAGTGGGGCCCTACTGTATTATGTTCATGTTTCATATTGTAGCTACATTTTCTAACACAGGTCTCTCACATGCACTGTACAGCATTTTCTAACCTTACATACTTAACTTCTGTAAGTTATCATATGAGTATGCTTCCTTTGGTAAATTTGGTATGTGCAACACCCACCATCCCCTGTGGTACGGTAGTTACTTTCCTCACAGATGGTATTACATCGGCTTTCTCCTGCAACTGTCAATACATGATTTGTATAAATCTTCATATCCAGCTGCTGGTTGCAAGGAATTTCTGGATACACATATCTAGATTTGAAAGTGCAAATTTTCAGATCTGGGACCCCTTAATTCTGTGTCCCAATTTTGAGGGATTTTACAGGACCCTTCAATCCAAACATCCCTCACAACTCAGACCCAGATTGGAGGGCTTGTACTTGCACTTCTCATTTTCTGGGTAGCAGGAGCATTGATGATTAGGGGAAAAAAAAAGGCTATAAATACAGACTGTTTCACCCACACTTGGCTTTTTCAGGATTTGCTGCAGTTGTCTATTTCCATGGGTGGTTTGGACTAATATAGGAGGAGCATATGGAAGCTATAGAGGGAATATCCATTGACAAAAAAGTAAAATAGGAATGTTAAAAATAGGGGCAGTGATGTACTGATGTAGAAATGTTTGAATACCACTAAAAAAATTGTATACAGTGCCAACAGGTTGATAACTTGAAATATGTACAACACTGTTATACAGTACAATACAATTTTTATTTCCTTGCGAGTTTGAAATTCTGTAATTACAATAACGAGTTGCAGTGCAACGAGAGCCACTATCATTTTATTATAATAATAGAAAAAAAAGTGCTAAATGCCATTATCATGCCATGGCATTATGGGCAGACTAAATTTAACGACTTACAGACTGCTCAATTTCTCTAATATTAAATATAGTTTAAGTTGTACATCTGTTTTTATTTATAGCAGACAGTAAGTTTATTCAAATTACAATCTGGGGATATTACATTGGGACAAGTTGAGAGTATTTTGTAGGTTGTGTATATCAGTAGTAAATATTTAAATTATATTTTTGGAATATAATCTTGAGCATTGGTGAAAGTAGTTTACAGTATGAGAATGCTACAATTTGGTGTAAGACAGTATAGTTTTGGGCAGATATTTATATTACTGTGTAGTATATGTTATGTATGAACTTTGGGTATCTAAATTTTGAAGTGTCAAGATTTAACCCTTTGAGGGTTTCGGACGTACTAGTACGGCTTACGACCCAGGGTTTTTGACGTACTAGTACGCCTAAATTCTAGTGCCCTCAAATCTAGTGGGAGAAAGCTGGTAGGCCTCCATATGAAAGAATGGGTCTATGTGGTCAGTGTGCACGGTATAAAAAAAATCCTGCAGCACAGTGCATGAGGAAAAAAAAAAAACTTTTTTTTGGAATAAAACAGCGACTTTGCACTGTATTTTCGTATGGTATTTATTGTTGTATTCTAGTTTTCTTGGTCTCATTTTGTAGAATGGAAGGCATATCATAGAAATTGAGATGATTTTGACTGGTTTTACAATGAAAAGTACCTTGAAATTGAGCTCAAAGTAGCAGAAATGTTCGATTTTTACCAAAGTTCAAAAGTAAACAAATCATGCCAAGCATCCAATACACATCAACTGGCGAGTCAAATATTCTTTTGCAAGTGCGCCAATATGATTCATACCATTTTTTACACTAATGCAGTAGTCTGCATAACAGTAAATCTATTTTTTGTGAGAATAAAAATTCAAAGTGGAAAGCAAAAGAATGTAAGAGGGGCCTCAAGACGCGACTAATGAACAGAGGAAATGTCACTTTAGTGCCAGGAATGTATTTCTCGTTTGTTCTGGACCCTATTCGGAAATTGGCATCTTTTGAAATTTGTGTGAAATTGGCAAAATTCTGACCACTGTACTGGATAGTTGAAATTGGTAAATGGGTGGTTTCTTGCGCTCATTCAATAGAAAAAATGGAGTTCTAGCTAAATATTCATGTTTTTTGTCGACTAGTACAGTGGAACTGGCCGAAAATGGGGCTCAAAGTGGGCAAAATCGCAGATCCGTGAACATCGCCAAGACCGCTAACTTTGCGAGAGCATAATTCCGTAAGTTTTCCATCAAATTTCATATTTTTGGTGTCATTATGATTGGGAAAAGGTTCTCTATCTTTTCATAAGAAATTTTTTTTTTTTTAAATTTGGCCGACCCTGAGAACGAGTCTCGGAGAGGGCCTTTCGACCCTCAAAGGGTTAAGTAACTGGGAGATCTTTTGGCAAATTTAAGTATTGAGTATTTAGTTTAGGGTGAGTAGATGGTTTTTGAGAGGAGTCTTAAATTGATGTTCAGACTGGGTTACTTCAGTATTTGCCGGTAATGAATTCTAAATTTTGGGGCACTTTATGTGCATAGTTCTTACACAGTTTGATGTGGACATGGGGTACATCAAAAAGTGATGTGTCTTGTTATGGTCGTGTGTCCTGTTAAGGTTGGTGAGAAGTTTGCGTGGAAGGTTTATGTTTTGAGTGTAGTGTTATATGTATATAGTAGGCACAAGAGTAAGTATGGATGTTCTTTACAGCGAGTAGTTTTAGACTTTTGAATATTTGTGGAGTATGCTGTCTGGAGTGGGAATTTATCATCATTCTGCCTGCAGCCTTTTGCTGGGTTATTAGCGGTCTTACATGATTTAATGTTGTTGATCCCCATGCACAAATTCCATAGGCGAGATAAGGGTAGACGAGCGAGTGATACAGTGCAAGGAGAGCCGATTGTGGAACATAGTACCGTAACTTTGATAGTATCTTAATTTCAAAAATATTTTGCCAACACAGTAGGATTTTTTCAGGAAATAAGGGTGACAAAGAGCAGAAGCAGTGGAGAGGTAAATATGATTTAATCAATTTATCAACCTTGAGGTGGTCAGTCCCTCAGCCTTTAGAAGTGTGATGTGTTTGATGGAGGCAGGCTTCAGATAAAACGTGCCAATGTGTTGAAAAAACGGCTGAATTCTTGTCCATAACTGAACACGAGAGCCATATGTTATGGACGAGAATTCAGCCATTTTGTAAAAGTTTATTGTACCTATTTAGTACCAGCTTACGTCTGCTTGAAATACTGAGAATAATTATGAGCTTTTCCATGTAAGGTGTCAACTTTATTTACCCATCCTTGTAATTCTTATGTACCTTGGTTTTCTTTTTTTTTTTTTATTAAATGGTAGTCCATCACCAAGGCAGGGTGACCCAAAGAAAAAACATTCACTCTGCTGACATCACAGTCAGTTCACCCTCTGACTACAGTACCACCCCTCCTCTAGAATGCAGGCACAGCCCTTCCCACCTCCTTGACTAAAGTCCAGCTAACCGATTTTCCTGAATCTCTCTATATATTTAAAAAAAGCATCTCTGGTCAGTCCAACAGTACATCCATTAAAAACCACTTGCCTCCATGCACTGCCATCAAACACATTCACAAAAGTAAATTTCTTCAGTTATAATTTCCAAATGTAACATATGACAATTTGTTATTGAAAGTATTTCGCAAGATTACTTTTCTGCTTTTACAAAGTTTTTTCAACATGCTTAAGTACAGGGGAATAGCAAAGAATTGACAAAATGGTACAGTATTTCACTACAATGTTGGTGAAATGTACCAATAAAAAAATCGCCTATGCAGTCAGTGTCTTAATATGCTTATGCCTTGCTAGTCATTTCTTTGCAAATAAAAATACATAAACTGTTTAGAAAAATATGATACAAGTTACAAATGGTCTTGCAAAGAGGGTTAATAAAGTTTGAAGATTTTTTGGAGCATACTGTATTGTATTCACAATTCAGTGTATTCTTCCAGTCCGGCCGAGTACGAGGTACGTCTTGTGGGAGCCAAAAGTGAGCGGTACCACCGAATCAGTCAGTCTGCTCTTCTGAGACTCTTCAAACCAACTGGTCGACTGGAACGTAGGTTAGAGAGAGTTTATGTCCGAGCACGATCCCGACGTATACCTGATGTTGTGGCTAGGAATCAAAGAAGAAACAACAGACGAAATAGGAACAAAAATCAGCAAGAATCATCCAACACAAACAATGGAGATGCAAATATAAATGGTCAAGATAACAGAAAAAATAATCAGAGGGGCAGTAGTAAAGAAGGTACACAGAAAGAAAATTCAGGGGAACCTTTGGAAATACCTGAACTTCCTTGAATACTGTAAATGCATAATATGTTTATTAACCCTTAAACTGTCCAAATGTAGATCTACATTTTCACCGCCAGTGCTCCGAGTATTTTTTTTTTTTTTAAATGAAAGAGGGCAGTTTTCTGTGTAATGAAAACAAAAATTTTTTAGTATCAGTACTTATCAAGATATAAGACTGCGAAGTCCGGACACTCACCTGGTGGTAACAGAGTCCTGCCGCTTGCAGAAGTGTTGCCAATATACTTTTCTCGTTTTTATTTTTACATAACTTTTGTTCTAATAATTACAGTTTATAGTAGTTCTTGTGATTTCATAGCCAATCTTTGTTCTGACACTAATATTAGATGCTGAATTAGTACTCAATTATTATTATAATCAAAAAGAAGCGCTAAGCCACAAGGGAATTAGCTCAAATAGTCACAAACACACTGACAGGTGAATATTTTCACCTGCCTTGGTCATTTACTATTACAGTGGACCCCTGGTTTTCGTAATTAATCTGTTCCAAAGAGTGACTAAACCCAAATCTGACGAATTCCGAATTAATTTTCCCCATAAGAAATAGTGGAAATCCAATTAATCTGTTCCCAGACACCCAAAAGTATTAAAAAAAAATTTTGTTACATGAAATATACATTTCCCTACACACAGAACAATGAGACGTGCAGAATAAAACAATACTAAAACGACTTGCCTTTATCGAAGACTTATTGATGAGTGATGAGACGGGAGGAAGGGAGAGGATGGAGGTGTACTATCGTTTGGAAGGGGAATCCCCTTCCATAAAGACTTCAGGTACCAAGTCCTTTTCCGGGGTTACTTACCTTTTGTTTTTTAATGCCGCTAGGACCAGCTCGAGAGTCACTGGACCCCTATTGTTCAAAAGTGTTCCAAGAGGTCTGTATCTGGCATTTCGTTAAAACTTCCCTAAAATGGGACACAACATTGTCATTGTACATATTGCCAACATGGCCTGCAACAGCTTTGTCAGGGTGGTGTTCATCCATGTCTGCACCTTTGTCCACATTGTACATATCTCCTTAATCTTTGAAGAAGGCATCTTCATCCATCTCTCTCCCTGGGCTGTTATCTCTTGCTGTTGCAAATGAAGCTCTTGCAGCTCTGTAGTGGTTAGCTCTTCATTGTGGTCCTCCACCAACTCTTCCACATCCTCGAAACTCATGTCCAACCCCCATGAAATTCCCCAATGCCACAATACTTTCCACAACTGGCATAGGCTCCTCAGGGTCAGCCCCAAACCCTTCAAAATCCCTCTTGTACACACTGTGGCCACAATTTTCTCCAAGCATAGTTCAAAGTCCTGGAAGTCTCCCTCCTAAGCCTTACCTATAAGGTTTATGCAATGGAGGATATTGAAGTGATCTTTCCAGAACTCTTAGGGTTAATTCAATGTCTGAGGTCACTTGAAAGCACTTTTGAAACACTGCTTTGGCAGTTTTTTGAAATGACCTAGTGGTCCATGGGCTGGAGGAGGGGGCAAGAATTTCACTTTGATGAAACAAAACTCCTGCACCATTTGCTCTTCCAAGTCTGGAGGATGATCAGGAGCATTGTCCATTACCAGGAGGCACTCGAGTTCGTTTATTTTCCAGGAGGTATTTCTTCACACTGGGGCCAAATACGTCATTAAACCAATCAAGGAAAATGCCCCTCGTAACCCATGCCTTACTGTTTGCCTTCCATATCACACACAGCTTACTCTTGACGACACTGTTTTTCTTGAACATGCTGGGATTTTCAGTGATACACCAGTAAAGGCTTCACTTTGAAATCCCCACTAGCATTACTACAAAACATGAGTTAGCCTGTCTTTCATAGGCTTGTGTCCTGGGAGTGCCCTTTCCTCCTGAGTAATGTAGGTCCTCTTTAGCATTTTCTTCCAAAAGAGGCCCATTTCATCGCAATTGAACACTTGTTGGGGTTTGAATTTTTCAGCCTCTATGTACCCCTTGAATTCCTGAACATATTTTTCAGCCGCTTTTTTTGTCAGAACTGGCAGCCTCACCATGCCTTATCACACTGTGTATGCCACTATGATTCTTAAATCTCTCAAACCAGCCTTTGCTGGCCTTAAATTCACCAGTATCAGCACTAGTTCCAGGCATTTTCTTTACAAGATCATCATGCAACTATCTTGCCTTTTCACAAATTATTGACTGCATAACTCTCTCTCCTGATAACTTTCTCATTGATCCAGACCAACAACAAAGTCTCCACATCTTCCAGTATTTGCAATCTATTTTGTATGCATATTTATACCTTTAACACAGTTACTTTTTGCTGATGATACTGTGCTTATGGGAGATTCTAAAGAAAAATTGCAAAGGTTAGTGGATGAGTTTGGGAATGTGTGTAAAGGTAGAAAGTTGAAAGTGAACATAGAAAAGAGTAAGGTGATGAGGGTATCAAATGATTTAGATAAAGAAAAATTGGATATCAAATTGGGGAGGAGTAGTATGGAAGAAGTAAATGTTTTCAGATACTTGGGAGTTGACGTGTCGGCGGATGGTTTTATGAAGGATGAGGTTAATCATAGAATTGATGAGGGAAAAAAGGCGAGTGGTGCATTGAGGTATATGTGGAGTCAAAAAACGTTATCTATGGAGGCAAAGAAGGGAATGTATGAAAGTATAGTAGTACCAACACACTTATATGGGTGTGAAGCTTGGGTGGTAAATGCAGCAGCGAGGAGACGGTTGGAGGCAGTGGAGATGTCCTGTCTAAGGGCAACGTGTGACGTAAATATTATGCAGAAAATTCGGAGTGTGGAAATTAGGAAAAGGTGTGGAGTTAATAAAAGTATTAGTCAGAGGGCAGAAGAGGGGTTGTTGAGGTGGTTTGGTCATTTAGAGAGAATGGATCAAAGTAGAATGACACAGAAAGCATATAAATCTATAGGGACAGGAAGGCGAGGTAGGGGTCGTCCTCGAAAGGGTTGGAGAGAGGGGGTAAAGGAGGTTTTGTGGGCAAGGGGCTTGGACTTCCAGCAAGTGTGCATGAGCGTGTTAGATAGGAGTGAATGGAGACGAATGGTACTTGGGACCTGACGATCTGTTGGAGTGTGAGCAGGGTAATATTTAGTGAAGGGATTCAGGGAAACCGGTTATTTTCATATACATGTAGTTGGACTCAAGTCCTGGAAATGGGAAGTACAATGCCTGCACTTTAAAGGAGGGGTTTGGGATATTGGCAGTTTGGAGGGATATGTTGTGTATCTTTATATGTATATGCTTCTAAACTGTTGTATTCTGAGCACCTCTGCAAAAACAGTGATTATGTGTGAGTGCGGTGAAAGTGTTGAATGATGAAAGCATTTTCTTTTTGGGGATTTTCTTTCTTTTTTGGGTCACCCTGCCTCGGTTGGAGACGGCCAACTTGTTGGAGAAAAAAAAAATTATACCTTTTGCAACAACAGCTTCCTTGATGTCCTTTCTCTTGGCCATGATAGAAGTGATGGTTGTATGGGGTTTGTTATACAACCTGGCAACACACACTCCACTTTCATATTTTTGCAATGATGTCTTTCTTGAATTCTATAGTGATTCTCACCCTCTTTGCAAAGGGCTGGCACTAGAAACTTTCTTTGGGCCCATGGTGGCTTATCTAGTAGTTACAAGCACTAAAAAGAATGGAATGCTATAAAATATATTGTATGAACGTCTGGGATCGTCCTCACTGGGTGTAAATGGTGTGTCAGGCCGCGCAGACACGTTTGGGATGAATGACTAACACCGAGTTCAATGACGATCACCGAGCCAATATTTTGACAAAATAACGTTACTTATTCCGAATATTACGAAATCCAATGACGATGTAATCCGGGGGTCCACTGTACCTAGAAATATATAGAGTATTTATAGGTCTCAACAGTGTTTTAGACATGTTGGAGTATACATGTACATGAAACTCCTTGAAGCATGGTGTTATTATTATTATTATTATAATCAAAAAAGAAGCGCTAAGCCACAAGGGCTATACAGCAAGCATGGTGTTAAGACAAGTGTTACAGAACTGCTGGCAGTGCAGCAGTAGAGTGACACTTGATGAATGTACACTGCTCCAGGGAACCCTGGCTTTGTGTTTTCACTGTTATACAAACATGTCTGTCTGCGTGTGTGTGTGTGTCTTTCCATCTGCATGTGTCTCGGGGAGCAGCTCGTAAACCAACAGGTATTACACACGATGCAATCGTCACGTCTGATTCGCGAGCAAGTGAAAATGATTCTTTCTTGCCATTCATGCTTATTATGCCTTATATCTACAAGCACTGTATAGCACTTTGCCTGGAATTTTTTTTTGGTTATCCTAGGTAATTTACACTATGCATAATTACTGTACTTGTGTGTACCTGTGAGAGATATAGACAGACACAGCCAAAGTCAGTCTGCCAGCTAGCCAGCCACCCAGCCTGCTGAATACGTATTACATGTTCCAGAATCGTTTCTCTTTACTTAGGGCATAGGTTATGGGACATTCTGGCAGGATGACACTACCAATGGTATCGGAAATGAAAGGATGTTGCACATGGGTTATTATCAAAGTTTCTGATGTTTCCTCAACCACTTGCAGCCACATCCATCTCAAAGCCACTAAACTCTGGGTCAGCATCACTTTCTTCTAAAAGGGGAGTGTTAATATGACATGACATCAGTGAATCCCTGGTGTTTTCTATGCTATTTGCTCTAGCTGGCACTCAGTTGAACTGGTGCTCCCGGAAGGTACTAAGTGGTCCCAGATTTTTTTTAATACTGCGCACACAGAGTGCTAAAACCCATTCTATACTGACCAGGCACCTCAGATCAATTGTGCCAGATTTGGAGGTAGGAAAAATAAAACTTAAATCTATGTTTGGAGTGCTAGCACTACAAACATAGATCTACGTTTGGACAGTAAGGGTTAAAATGCTAATTACAGTATTAAAGAAAATTAATTTTTCTGCCATTCATAATTACAGTTTATATTTCTTTGAATATAAATCAAACAGTTCAGTATTAGCCAGTGTGAAGTAAATTGCCTACAGTAAGAAGTTTCAAACAGTAAAACAATTTAGAAAGTGATAAAAAGTGGTTGTTACCTGCAGGCATTTAAAAAAGGCATATTCAGCAATTTAGTGCGTTTAAATGAACCATTGTATCGACTGAATAAAAACCTACTGTATAAAATTCAAAATTTATTTTCACTAATTACTTTAACTATTTCTCTGTAGCTGTATAGCTTACATATAAAAAGATGTAAATGCCCAAGCAAAAAGCTTTCCATACCTCATACTCTGTAATTTGT